AACAAAATTATTCAAAGGAATAGAATAGAATTGAAATCCATTCCAATTGCTTCATTTCTAGATTATTCATATTTCAATTGATGGCAGTTATTTATACAATGGAATACAAAGCAATGTGCTTTTGTAAAAGGGCATAATTGTCCTTTTATGTTATATATATATATATATATATATATACATATATATATATATGGTATGAAAATCAACTAATGATGGATGATCTGGTCCAATAAAAAGAATAAAGGACAAAAATGTCAATTTGGTCATCTGAGGTTGTTTTTCAGATTCTGTCAGCATTTTATCCATTATCAATTGTATAAAATTACATTGTTCTAGTCAAATATGATTTTGTGGATGTGTGATCATGGTTTAAATGTGTTGAAATAAGGAAATAATTAACATGAAATACCTTCAAATATATAATTAAACAAATATCTTCAAAGATTATCATTTAGCATAAGTCTAGATAAGAAAATCATAATATAAAGTTTTCTGCTGATGTTTTTCAAAGGCATAAGCAATTTGGATGGGTTGATTGATCAGTTTCTTCTATCATGATTGACAAATTGATTACACCCAGTGCATTTACGTTTTACTTTAAGAGATTTTGCAATTGCTTTTTCTGCAGAGCTTCAGATTCTATTTTTCTTACCTGAACCTTTAGTTCTTATCCCGCTAGGTGCCTCAATGTCAATTTCATTTGGAAGGTAGAGACCAATAATGTTTTCAACAATATCTTTGATTGGATTTGAATTAAGTTTAGTTGCAACATTCTTTCCACACTCAATGCTTAATGTCTTCAAAGTTTGTACCAGTTCTTGTAATTTTCCAATATCATGAGCAACCGAAACGATACATTTCTCATAATATGATGATGTCTCGTGCAAAAGATTTGAAGTTTCAGTGTTGCCCACTCCCCACCTATGCAATATATTTTGATAAGAAACATCCATAATGTTTTTTCTCCATCGATCAAGAATGTATTTGTCCGGTAGTTTGAAAATGTCATTGTCTATGAGAACTCTAAAACAATGACAACAAAGAATTCCATAAAATTGGAAATGCATACATGAACAGTCTATGGTCATACCTCCTTTATTTAAAACCACCAGCAACATAAATTTTTTTTATCATTTTACAATTATAATAAAATTACAGAAAAAAAATGGAAATTGAAAATAAGTATAATGTTAGCTAATTATAAACCTTGAATTGTGGTCTTTCTCCAGTTTTATAGTTTTTGAAAACTATTGTGCATTCTTGAGTGGCATTAACACTTAAGGATGTCTTTTGGAAACACAAAGTGAATGCTTTTTTGATCTTCTTATTTACTTTAACGAATGCATCCCTAGTATAAATTATGGATGCATGTTTTTCAATCTTCAATGGATCATTGGCAGAAATCATATGAGGAGTACCATCTCGTGAGGCTATATCCAATCTTTTTTGTTCATGACGTTTCTTTGCAATAGCAGTGTCAAAGTTGAACGTAAATTTCACTAGTAAATTGGATGGGCTAGAGAAAACATTGAAGAAAGAATTTCAACTTTCAGATTGTGATGTAGTCTTCATAAGACCACACATAGGAAAATCTCTAAAGTAAGAAGGAATCTATTTGTCTCTCTTATTGTACATGTCATCCAACCATTTATTTTCTCTCAAGTTGAATTCGTCCAACATTAACTCCCACTTACTCTCAAATTCTGCATGTTCAAGATGTATATTCCAAACAATTTTATGTAATCGTTTCTTGAAATCTGAATTTTCAAATACATCCGAAAATATCTGTAATTCCAATTAGTAAGTTGTTAGTATACCATTTTTATTTTAAGAATAATATTAAATAAAGAGTCAGTCAATAAATTACGTTTGCAGACACTTTGCTCGTGATGTGCCATACACAGAATCTGTGTGTACATCCTTGAAACTCTTTTGAAATGGAAGTACATAAAGCAGGATCCATATCTGACAAAATCATGGAAGGAATTTTTCCATGTGCTTTAATAAAAGCTCTTAATAACCATGTATATGACTCTATTGTTTCATCCGATAAGAGTCCAGCTCCAACATTGATTGTCTTGTCATGGTTGTTAATAGCAGTGAAAGGAAAAAAAATCATATTGTACCTGAAATATATATTATATTAGGATTTGTTATCATTGCCATCAGGTTGGACACTTGAGGGCCAACTGCCCACAGTTTGCTGCAGGAACAGTGCAGGCTCCAGCACCGGCCACTTTGAGGATTACTGGCAGGGGTCAGGGTGGAGCGGAGCCTCCGAGGGCTCAGGGACGCGCTTTTCAGCTTACAGCAGAGGAGGTCAGGGCAGAGCCGGATGCAGCTGCGGGTATGTTTCCTTTTTGATATCTTGTTATCTTGTTGATTGTGTAGTATTGTAAATCTGTCTGCATTGTTCCGCATGTTTCATAGTATGATTAAGGATCTTAGTAGTTAGGAGTGGTAGTTTTTCAAGAGCTTTAACTAATTCGGGATGTTTTTAGTTTTAGTTTATGCATGATGCTCCAAAATTCCTCTTTAATTCCAACCCAACATAAAAGAAGATGTTGATATGTCAAACAAAAGAACAACAAAAATATGTGGGAGTGTAACCGTAGTTTCAATAATCTCCCAATAGATACTTAACAGAAACTTCCCGTAATGGTCTAAAGTAAGAAAAAAAAATAACTGTGAAAAAAAATATGATAAATTTTGACAAATGAACTTTGTAATTGCCACCGCCCACCTGCAGCATTGAAAATGAATTAGTAATTTAGAATAAAACAAAAAATAAAAAATAAAAGGGCAAGAAACATACGAACCGCATGAGTCTTGTTGAAATGTTGTAGTAACATGTGAGGAATATCTTGGGAGAGCAAACATGACTTGCTTAAAGTAACATCAACCAATACAATAACAACCTCTACTAAGAGCAGTCAATGGAGAAAATTGATGGAACCCACTTGCAGAAGATGGTGAATTGGGTGGTGAATTGTTGCCACCTTTAACGTCTTCGTTGTTGGACGAATCGTCAAAATCTGCTATAAAAATCAGTAAAAACAATGAACTTTAAAGCCAACTTGGATAAAAACATGTCTGACATTAAATTATCATTCTTTCAAGCTTAGATTTTCATGATCTTTGGTGAATCTAAATTTGAATTTCCAAACAAAATTGGGGCGGGAGCTAAAACTGTAGGTATATATACATTCGAATAAATCACTTACTCCTCCAATCCAATGAGTCGCACACGTTAAGAGCATAACAATAAATAATTAATTAATCTTCTTTGCAATCTCAACAACTAAACTTGTACGCATAATCAATAATAGAAGATGAAATAAACAAACAGTTAGAAGGAGCATACGACACACTGATACAAAATTACAAATACAAAGTTTTTAGTTTTGATTCCAACCCTATGCAAATAGCAAGAGAGTTACAACTGTCAATTGTGAGGGAGCGGATGGTGACGGAACTGAGAAATGTGATGAAGAAAATCCGAGAAAAGCGCAAGAACACGACAACAACCACCGATCGCCGATTTAATTTTGGAGATGATTAAAAGCCGTGTTTTAGGGTTTATATGCATTCGACTCGAGCCCGTCAATTCAATTGTGGAGATGATTGGTTGTTGATTTCTTGTGCTTGAGAAATGGAAAAAGATTTAATTTGTAGCTGATTTTATGGATGGTTTTTCATTATTACCAAAAGATAGATACATTAATTACATTAATAAATGCAAGTTTTAGGTGTTGTTTGTTTTTTTGAAGCCAAAACGTCTGCAGTCTGCGGACCACATCTGCAAACCTCTGCGCAGAAGAGGTGGACCAAATGTCTGCAGTCTGCAATAAGAAGACTGTATGTTTTTAACGTCTGCATGTGTTGAAATAATTTGATTTTTCAAACTTAATTTCATGTCATAAACATTAAAAATGTATTTAAAAAAAAAAAAAAAAAAAAAAAACTAGTGGCCTATGTTTTTTTTTGTTTAGGTTAAAATGAGGTCTGAAGACCTTTGAAGACAGTGGCCTATGTCTGCGCCAGGAAGACCTCGCGCAGACGTTTTTTAATCTGCGCACTTCCAAAAAAACAAACATTCTGCGAGGGCATATGTCTGCGCGTTGTCTGCGCGGCGCAGACAAAAGTGGTTGCACAGATCTTCACAAAAAAAACAAACTGCCGCTTGCTCTTTTAAGCTGAAATTGGGAGTTTTGCTATTTCACATTGAAAATATAGGGAGCTAATGAGTTGCCACGTGGCAAAATAGGTACTCTTTTATTAGATATAGTTATGAACTCATGTATTACATGAGTTAATTTAAAAAAATTAAGTATAAATCTTAAAATATTTGAGAACTTTGAATTTATAAGAAAATAAGATAAATAATAAATTATTATAATGGAAATGTTTTTTATCTTTTAAATTTAAATAAATAAACAAAAGAAACTAATGAGCTTTAATTTTAGGAATTTTGAAATTAAAAAATAAGTTGATTGATAAATTGATATTTATTTATTACTACATTTATTGCAATTATTACTTTAAAATATTATGTAGAATTTAATAAATAGAAAAACTTATAAAATGACATGTGGAAAAAAAAATTAATTCAAAATAACCACAAAATGATATTTGGTAATTTGAATGAGAGCGTAACAAGTGACGAAAAAAAAAAAACATTCATTTATTATAGAGGATGAAAATGGAGATGGAGATGAAATTATAATTCTTTTATTTATCGAAGTATGTTACCAAGGATGGAAGGATGATCATGTTCATTTATATTCTCAAAAAAATGGCAAACAAATCAACAAGGCCCAAAATAAAACATTTACACATAAACCAGCTCATTATTCAAAAACAGAATTAATTACCACGTTGACCAAATTTTAATCTAACTAGCGAACCACCTTTTTTCACGCTCGAACGTTTCTGACCAATCACTAATCACACAAATTCCCCCATATAAATACCATAAATTCTTTCATTCTCTACCAATCCAAAAAATCATCACGTTTACTATGCATTATTTTTCTACCTTCTTCAAGAAAAAACCAACCTTTTACACCATTCATCGATCTCTCGCCTCTCAATACCATGAACCCCACCACAACGTTCGTTTGATCACTACAAATTCCAACAACAAATCATCATCCATATCATCATATTCATCTTCACCGAAATTGAATGTTGAATGGAGGTGCAACTATGATCGTTACAAAAGTGTTGAATCATTGACATCTAGTATTGTTGTAGTTGGATTGAGCCTCGGGCTTTGTTACTTAACTTCTGGTGTCTCAACCGAATTCACAATTTGTGTATGCGGATTCATCGCATCAAGATCAGTCTGCAAAATTTGATGACAAACCCATGTATATTTTTGGAGGTATGAATATACTAAACTCCCTTTTCGTGGTTTAAATTTTATCTATCTTTTTATTGATAATTATGTTGAATAGATTGTATCCTTTACATGTGTTTCTATCGATCATACTTTTTCCTTTTAAAAGAAAATTACAAAAAGATTATATATAACTGTTTTAGGATTTAGTACAAAAATAACAATATATTTTTATTGATTTGTTTATTATAACATAATATTTTCAATTTCTTTCGTTACTTTATAATTATGGTGTTGCTATGTATATGTAATGTAATTTTTATCATTTGAGAAAAAAAAAACTAACATACTATATGGATTGAATATTTTAAAATATAATACTTTAATAGAAGTAATAACTATAGATAGAATGTTACAATAAAATAAATAAAAAAAATATAAATATAATACATATTATAAAGATATATTATGGGTCACTCATGTTGAGCCTTTTCTTCTCTCTTTAGAGAAAAAAACATTTTTTGCATGGAAATGTTTCGTGCAAAAAAAGGAGTTTTTTCTCGCATGTTTTCCTCTAAAAAAACACAAAAGTTGTGAAACTTGAAAACCATTTCAAGTTCTAATCGGAGTAAATAATTCGCAGATGCTTATCGCCGGAAAAGTTTTCTTCAAGTACGAAAAACGAATAAGAACACAAAGTCCACCGGAAAAGGTATATACAATTAACTGAATTTCAATTACACACATCTATAATTTCATCAGTTCAATTCAAAAATCAAAACCCTAGGTGTTCGAGTACTTCGCATCTCACCAATCGCCTAATGGCGAATCATTTATGACGCCGGCGGACTTGATGAGGGCGGTGGTGCCGGTGTTCACTCCTTCTGAAGCTTCCCGTGTTCGCGAGGGAAGCTTGAAAGGCGAGCAAGCACCTAGTGAGTTACAATGTTCTCCTTCAAAGTTCTTCATGCTTTTCGATACTAATAACGATGGACTTATCTCATTCGCAGAGTAAGTTTTGTGAATTCAATCCTTCAAATCGGAATTTTGTTAATCGTATTAGGTTTTCAGATGCTAAATTCGATCGGAATTGTCAAAACAGGTATATATTTTTCGTTACGCTTCTAAGCATCCCTGAATCGAGCTTCTCCATAGCTTTTAAGATGTTCGATCTCGATAACAACGGGTAAGTTTCCATCAAATTCGTTCTAGGGTTTCTGTAATTCTACTCAATAACTAATCCAATCGCATTCGAAACTATGAATAGAGAGATCGACAAGGAGGAATTCAAAAAAGTAATGGCATTGATGCGATCTCAACACCGACAAGGGTCACGCCACCGCGACGGATTGCGTACCGGACTAAAAGTTTCAACGCCGGTGGAGAACGGCGGCCTTCTCGAGTATTTCTTCGGGAAAAACGGGAAATCGTGCCTCGCTCACGGGAAATTCGTTCAGTTTTTGAAAGATTTGCACAACGAGGTTCGTTATATGATTATATCGATCATCTTTCTCGTTATCTGAAACGCGATAAGGATTTTGATTGTTGAATTATTCGTTTTGGATAGATTTTGTCGCTTGAATTTGCTCATTACGACTATAAATCAAGAGGGACGATATCTGCTAAGGATTTTGCGTTATCAATGGTGGCATCTGCCGATATGAACCACATCAACAAGTTTCTCGATCGAGTTGACCAGTTGAACGAAGAGCCAGATCTCAAGAACATACGAATTACATTTGAAGATTTCAAGAAGTTTGCAGAATTGCGAAAACAATTGAGACCTTTGTCTCTTGCCATTTTTAGTTATGGAAAAGTGAACGGGCTTCTTACAAAGAAGGATTTCCAAAGAGCAACCGAACAGGTGAATCAATCATCTTTCATAAATCATAATAGAGTAATTTACAAATTTGGTCCCTCAATTACTCAAAATCGCAAGTATGGTCCTTATAGTTAGATGTTTAATTTTAAGATAATAACAAGAGTTATTTGCATGGTATTTAGGTTTGTGGGATTACTTTGAGCAATAATGTGATTGATATGATATATTACATATTTGATTTGAATCGAGATGGGAACTTAAGCTCAGATGAGTTTTTGCGAGTCCTGCAAAGGCGAGAGGACAACTTGCAACCGAAGGAGGCAGGGTTTATAGGTTTAATATCATGTTGGTTGCAATGTAGCTCGAATTGTTCTACAACAAATTTATTCTCTAGTTTTCTTTCAAATTAAAAATGTAGAGGGAATCACAAATTCACAATTTAAGTGTATGTACATAAATTGTGATGTGTAGATAAGTTTTGTAAGCATGTTTCATGATAAAATGTATTATTTGTTATTGTTAGTGTTAGTGTTAAGTTATTTTAGTTAGAATTTGTTTAGAATAAAGTTAGTGTATGAAGTTTTTGGACATTTTTGTTTTTATGTGATGACTAATTAATAGAGTTTTTACTTCATTATAATACTAATGTATCCAAGAAAAGTGTGAGATCTGAATGAAATCTTGTATTATTCAAATAAGATGGTGTTTTCTTTTTTGTTAATAAGATCTTGTTTATCTTGATAATATTTAAGAATATTTAATATTAGACAACAAAAATAACTACAATAGACCATGGGGTCCTATTGAAATGGGATATGAATAAGGTAGATATCGATAATCGTCCTTAGAATGAATGAGTCACATAAATGACCTTCGATATAATCGTCCTTAGAATGAATGTGTCACATAAATGACCTGTGATATGTGAACCATAAACTTGTAAAAGAGACAAACAAGATGCAAATAAATCAAAGAGAACGGTATGAAGAGATAAAAATTAAAATAAATAAATAAACATACTAAGAACGTGCAAATGAGGCAAACAAGGGAGAGTAAGTTGATTTGGTGAGTGAAGCAAAACATAAAAAGAAAAAAAAATGTAGCCATATGAGCAAGAGTCAAGCATCAACAATAAAGTTAGCAGACAAAACATACAAAGGACGAGGTTACCCATCTACCCTGATGTGTAACCGCTATACCTTATCTAAGGTGTTGTCCTCGAAGAGGCCAATCTTATCCATATATATCATCAATTCACCAGTGTCATCTACTTCCTTTTAGTACGATTCTTTCCTTCTCTTACCATGCCATAGCCTCTTTTGGACACGTTCATATCACATCAATCATTCTCTCAATTATTTAGTAATGTGATATGTGACACTTTCAATGAGTTTCTATAGCCATTTTCGGAATCTTATCCATATTAAAAATTGACGGATACTTGATCAAATAACAAATTTTTCAACAACATTTTCAATCAAATATTGTAGTTCTAATGGAATAAGGAACAAGTTGAATAATGTAAGTGTATACGTTTTTTTTCTCTAATTAATAACGGTTTAGCCTAAAGTGCATTCTAGGCATACCATATTTTAAATCGTTTTTCTTAAAAAATATTATTTTAAGACTAGCATGTAAGACTTCATCTATTATAGACCAATTACCAAAAAAATACTATTAACTTTTTATCTTTTAAAACCCTTCCATAATTTCAATATACAAAATACCTTATATTAAAATATTTGACTCGTTCATGTCTCATTATTTCAACACATACTCAAAAACTCCAATATGATATCAAAAAATTCTTATATTAAACACAAAACCCTTCATAAAAACACATCATATTGACAAAATTGTAAAAATCGTCTCTGCGGTATGTATTTTTTTGAGGTTTTAGTTCAAACCACGATTTTTTTGGAGTGGTGGTCCTTTTGGCCTAGTTTGATTATGGTTTTGGTCCCTTAGTAAACTAAATGTGATACATTTTTTTTTATATTTTTTGTATTTAATTTAATGTTTTATTATTAATAAACTCTCTCTCTCTCTCCTGAGCAAACCCACCAGCGATCCAAACATCGTTCATAATCCATTTCAACATCAGATTCCAGCGACCTGGATTAACCCACAAAAAAACTTAAAGATCTTCATCCACTTTCACTATGAACACACATACACACACTAGATCGAGGTGAAGAAGACCCATTTCAGTGACTATCAAGAAGTCCCTCTCCATTCCCTCTACTGGTGACCCTCCTCCTTCTCCAAAATCAATTTCAGCACCTTAACTGAAAGGAAAAATTTTAAGCTAAAAATCAAAACCCAATTTAAGAGTTTAATTCCTGTTCTCCCCGACAGAAATCTCCTTTAAATAAAACCGTCGGGAAGGATTATTAGAGATGATTGGCTGGCGGGGGACTTTTAGGGTGCGATGGATTGGAATGTGAGCAATGGTACTCTGGTTCAATCTTCCAACCACAATCATCGTCAATAATCCCCTATCTGTTGATTTAAATTCCAAGCCACTAGGAGGGCATCCAAGACTTTCATCTCAAACGTTCAAAGAACTGAATCCTCACCTCCACCTCCAGCAAACTGAAGAGGGTAAGGGTTTCTGTCAAGATGGCTCTAGTTTGTCAATTTCTATGTACGATTTGGTCGATTTCTATGTCCAATTTCACCTGGGTTTTCATTGATTTCATCTGGGTTGCATTGAGTTTAGTGGTAGATGGGTTATATCGGGCTTTCTGATTTCATGTGTATGTAGATAGAGGTGGGTGACGGTGCTGGTGGCTGGTGTGATTTTTGGATCAAAACAAATCAGGAACGAAGCATTATAAAAATCGAAGTAGTATAACCATCCATTGATTGAAACATCAGTCGATCATCCTTCATCTTCTTTCTACTTTCATTCAGCCAAACCAAACTTCAACTCCATCGATGGAGAAGCACAGGTCACCGATTGATTTGTCATCGCTGAGACGAATCAGATGCAAGTTCCCTCCATCTCCGGCTGTATAAACGAAGGTGATGGTGGCGGAGTGGGGAGGCGCTGAATGTTGCCGGATTTTTATGTGTAGGGGTTTCCGACGAGAGGAAGGATGAGAGGAACGTATTTCTGATTGGAGGCCAAATTCCTTTTGGTTGTGGAGGTGGAAGACGAATTGAGAGAGAGAGAGAGAGAGAGAGAGAGAGTTTTATATTTAATAATAATAATAATAATTTTAAAAGGTGAAAGAAAAATGAAAACTAAATTCATTAAGGGTATAATAGTCTTTTTAGTTTGGACAGAGACCAAAACTGCATGTAAACTAGCTTAAAAGGACCACCAATCCAAAAAAGTCGAAGTTTTGACTAAAACCCCAAAAGAATGCATACCACAGGGACCATTTTTTCAATTTTGTCCATCATATTATAGCTAAACACAAAACCCTTCATAAATACACATAGGGATGGAAATGGGGCGGGTTTGGAACGGGGTTGACCATCCATGTCCCCATCCCCGAGTGTCTAACCTCGTTCCCATCCTCATCCCCATCCCCGACGGATGCGGGGAATCAAATCCCCTCCCCTTTGTATTTTGGGCTTTTCCCCAGCCCATCTCCGACCCATCACCAACCCATCCCCAATCTATCAACATCGTAAACTCAACTTACAAAAAAAAAAAAAAAAACAAGTTTAATAAGCGATCAAAACATGATGCAATAATCAGATTTTGTTTACATTAACCATAAAGTTTAGCAAGCATCAAAATGAAAAGTGACGATTTGGTATAGAGATCAAGTGACGATTTGCGAACTCTTGGAATTGGAAACATAATTTGATATAGAGACTCTATCTTTGATTGATATATATATATATATATATATATATATATATATATATATATATATATATATATAGCGGGGGCGGGACGGGTTGGGGATTGTTATACCCGGCCGCGGCCCCACCCCCGGTTTTAGCATAATGGGGATCCCCGGCCCCGTACCCGGTACCCGTTTTGGCAGGGAATACCCGTCCCCGATTGGGGTGGGTCAACCGGGTTCCCCACTGGGTCGGGTGAAATTTTCATCCCTAAATACACATCATATTATAGCTATCTTATTAAAGTAAACTCTAGGAGAACATAATTTGACACTTTAAAAAGTAATGGACTTAACAGACAAAAAAATTATGCCATAATAATAGGTTATGTTTTTCTAACATACGTCACGCTTTAATCTTTTATAAAATTGAGTTCAAAACCAAAATCAACCTAAGTATCCTTTTTTTTTTTTGGTACCAAAACCAGACCAGTTACGAGTTCAAACCAAAACCAAACAAGTTTCCTTCTTTTTCTTTTTTTCTACTTTTCAAGCAATAAATGTCACCATGTTAAGTTTATTTTCTTTTTTTTTTATGTTAAAAAGGTCCTTACTTATATTCGGTTGAGGACTAAACCAGTTTTGATTTTTTTAAAACATTAGATCTTTCAACACGAAATACACAACATAAAACCCGAAGAAAAAAAAAACATAAACCTTTCAAATGTATCACTAAGTTTTGTCTAGCATCACAAGTTTACTATATCATCTGAAAAAAACTATACCTCAAAATGCCGATAAATGTATAAAAACCATTTGGGCACAAATCAACGTATCTTTCTGTTTTGCTTAATTTGAACCATATCTGAAACATGCATACATTTTTATGTCGGGTGTTCTTCTGAATCAGGACTTGATGATGATGATGATGGTTCCTCATCAATTACCATAAGGATCTTCTGTTCATGTGTAATGTCATCTTCAATTTTTGGTTGTTTGTAATCTTTCGGGAGTGGGTTACAGTTGATTGTATACCAAACGGGTCTTTCTTCTTGGAATAATCTGAAAAGACAAAAATACCCATCATGATGGTGGGTTAAAATTGATGAATATTGTGAAATTAAATGGTTGGAATGTAAGGGTAAAATGGTCATTTAGTCTGATTGAGACACTTACTGGTGTTTGCAAAGCATTGGGGAATGTATTGTTAGTGCATATTTGCATGTTGACAATTCGGTGATAGAACTAATCATAGCTCGAGGTTCTGAACACACAAATCTCACCTACAAAACACAAACAAAAAATCAAATCAAATCAATATAATATAATTCAAAAAATTAATTAATTTGAAATTGAGAAAAAATATTTTCAAATTCATCAAACCTCAGTTGCTCGAGGCTCGTTTGTAAGATCACAAGTTGTTCCATTTGTGTATTGATGAGCATGATACCTAACATTAATCATGTCAATTAATATGGATTATTTGGTAATATTTAATATAATAATCATCTATAAAATTTAATAAAAAAAAATTATATTTGTAATTGTACCTTTGTGATGCATCTTTGGAGCGAGGATCTTTCAAAGTTGAAATGTCAGATAAATTACGGTTGTATGCAGCTGTAGCTTCAGCATCGTATTCACCCAAAACAAATTCTTGAACAACCTGAACGAGGGGTATTTTGGTAAATTCACCGGAATTTAAAAAAAGAAAAAAGATTTATAAATCTTGATAACAACCCGTTCTTCCTCCACGTGAATTTGACGAAGCTTCTTTTGATAACAAAATTCATAAGACCACCATCCTTCTTGCTGCAAGAAATAATTATTGAATTGATACAATGGTGAGGGGCAAAATCGTAATTTATGTTAGAGAGGTAAAAGTTCTGACCCTGAGAAAGCATCGGTCCTTAAGTGCTTCAAGTAGTTCATCTGGTGTCTTCAATTTGAAACGTTTTTCAGTTTCCAAAATTAAACTAGTGGAGTTTTGATGAATAGTTTGTTTTTCACTTTTGGATTTTTCCACTTTAGGAAAAAAACATACAAATTTTTCTCCATTTTTCTTTGGCATTACCACAGATTCTTGATCATCATCCTGTAAAAAGCAAAAAATCAAAAAATTTAATAATGAAATTAAGTTGTAGTTTTCTGTATGTTGTTTCCCTTAACTTTTACTATCATCTTGAGTTGCCATTGTCATAAGCAAAAAGAATTGATGACAATGATTTGCATTAACAAGATTCTTTAATTTTCATTATTAAATGTTGAAAGTATAAGTCAAATGTTTTGGGATGAAAAGAATACAATTTAAAAAATGCATCTTATGATAATCAGACACTAGAATGTATGAATTTCAATATGGTGACTTACAGGATGAAATGGTGAATCTTCTGAATGGAATTCAATATCATATTTTGGTTCTCTAGAGCTGCGACCTAAGCTACCTGAAACGCAAACCATTTATAAACATTTGAACTTAAACTGCGAGAAACAATTAATCATAATGAAGATGAAACGAATTACAAAGAAATTTGGGGAAATGAAGCTTCCCCCATTAAGTAATCATAATCTTCTATGCTTTTCTACAAGTTATGTTTATAATTTATCTCAACCTCCTTGGATTTTTTTTTAATAAATTAGGTCTAATAACATAGATGAACGAGGAAGAAGCTGGATAATGGCACATCGTATTCACATTTCGACTTCATCTCTCTAATTTGCTTCATAGAACTAACCTACATCATCTGACATGTTACAATCTTACGAAACCTCTCAATACCTTCTGCGCAGATTATTAATTACATAGTTGACGAATCAAATATTACGAAATTGATAACAAAATAAACACCCGCAAGAGACTGAGCGTGGAATTGGAACTGCTTTTGAACAAAAATGTTTGTAGAACTACCCAAAATGGAATGTGTTCTTCATCCGTTTCACAGACATAGAGAAATTGGAAAATTACCTCCATGAGTTGGGAAGATCTGCTCGGCTAAGACATCGTAATTGAACAAACAGGCGAATAGAAGCAAAAGCCACATCAAAATCGAGCCCATCTTTCACGTCGAACTGTGTGATTTAGTCACCAAGAAGAAGAAAATGGAATTTTGGGGTTTGTATATTATCAACGAAGGAGCTGAGAGTCAAAAAGTGATTTTGAAGGGGTCAAATGAAAGTTTATGATGTAAATAAAACCAATCCAATTGAAAAGTGCCACGTCATCCAAAGAGGGTGACGTGTTAGAAGCAAGTTTTCTAATGGGCTGGATGAAAAGTTTAGGCTCAGTTGCAAGTCGGGCTGGATGAAAACCAATCCAAGTTTTCTAATGGGCTGGATGAAAAGTTTAGGCTCAGTTTATATAGGGTTGTTGGTATTCATATAACTTTTAGTTATTGTATATTTTTATTATTTTATAAAAACGTCATAGTATAACAATAAATATTTAAGACTGTACGGTATGGGATGTTTTTCTCTGTTATTGTCGACGTGGAGGGTTTTTAAGAGCGTGGTAACAGCTGGAACACTGTCCCGGTCAGTTAATATAAGAAATGTGGTAACGACAATGAAGCGCAACGCCTTACTTTTCTCTCTACCTTCCTCTGTTTTTCTTCTTTAATTAGCCTCACAACGGCATTGTGAGCTTGGAATACAACCCCTGAAAAAATGTGGTGGAAAGATGAAGAAGGTTTAAGCTTATGTGATCTTTCAACTGCGTTAACCATACTGAGTAGCCTAAAGAGTGTGTTTAGTAAAAAATAGATATTAAAATTTTTAAAATTGAGATGTATGAATAGAATTACGTTATAAATAGCATGTACGTATTAATTACTTAAATACTTGTGCACCACTGATTTGAACGCTTTAACCAAATCAAAATGTGTATAATAAGACATGTGGGTATACTACAACATGGTGTGGTGGAGTTGATATAACAGTGAAGGGAGAGGGGAACGTCATATCCTTTTAGGTGAAGGGTAGTGTGGCAAACCTCCTGCGTAATTAAACACACCAAATACTATTTTTTTAATTTTTATTAAACTATATATATATATATATATATATATATATATATATATATATATATATATATATATATATCAAAGTTCATGGTTTTTAATTTTCTATAAATAAAGTATTATATATATATATATATATATATATATTATATATATATATATATATATATTAGAGAATCAAAATAACAATATATTTTACTTGGATAGATTCAAGGATTGTGTTTTGAACACTTTTCGAAATTTGTAATTCGTCCCTATTGCGGTACACAACTTCATAAAAATGGGATATTCCAAGAATAAAAGCAATCTGAATTACAGGCCTAATTCGAATTGTGAAACACATAATATATTTGCATGATGTGCTTTGCCCCTAGACCCTACAGGGGCGCTGCCCATTCGAACCCCGTACCCAAGGGCACTGTTCCCCCGAACCCTCGTATCCCTAGCTCATATTTATCACTTTGAATGTGTACCCCCACCTCTAATCTCGATGAGTGAAATACAACTCAGTTTATCTGAATATTAATAACAACTACACTAAAACATGTTGATAACACTAAAATCACCAACATTCATCCCTCATTTTAGTGTAATCTTTAATTAAAACAAAACAAACTCATGCATAAATGAAAATGTCTTGAAGACTAAATTTTCACATTAGTATAATACATATTTCAAGTACTTAAGAATCAGGGTGTCCTAAGGATTGAACCCTTCAACGCATTTAAATAACTAAAGATACTATACACATAAGTTAAACACAATATCTAATGTTTCATACTTGACATTATTACAGCCATGTGTCCCTATCCATTGATGAGTTCATAAGCCCAGCCCAAGCTTTTTTAATCGACAACACTTCACACTCACATAGGTAGTCCTTCTATATCACACACCTATCAATGCACTTTTTCAAAAGAAACTATTAAGAACTTAATCAACCTAATTTAACTTTACAGGTTATAAGCACATACCTTAGGATGTAATAACATAAATGTGCTCCAATCTCCATAAGTAAGCTTTCCACATTGAATTCAACTTCTAACATTGTATTAGAAGGGAATTAAGTATCTCACCCGTAGAGATATTAAGTGGGCCTTAAACCCATCCCTATAGCAGAATTTCTTACCAAGTCTCTAGCTAACCCCTTCGTTAAGTGACCAGCTAAATTCTATTGAGATCGAACAAACTCTACATAAATGATACCATGAGTAATGAGCTCACGTACCATACTGTGTCTAACACCTAAATATCGCAACTTTCCATTATACACTTAACTGTATGATTTTGTCAAGGTGACAGCACTATCACAGTGTATTGAGATATGTGATATAGGCTTTGGCCATAAGGAATTTCATAAATCAAATTCATTAACCATTCTATTTCCTTTCCAGCAGCTGCAAGGGCTACAAACTTAAATTTCATAGTTGAATTGGTGATGCATGTTTGTTTCTTAGAATCCCATTAAATGGCACCTCCACTAAGAGAAACACCAAACCACTTGTAGAAAAGTGGTCTTCAATATTTGTAATCCAACTAGCTCTGAATCTCCTTCAATAACTGAAGGAACCCCCACATAAGTCAATCCATAATCCATGGTTTTCGTAAGATACTTCAGCACCCTCCTTACTGTTTTCCAGTGATGAGTACTAGGATTGCTAGTAAACCTACTTAGCTTTCCTGCAAAAAATGCAATATCAGGCCTTGTGTTGGTCATAGCATACATCAAACACCCAATGACCTATGAATACTCAAGTTGTGAAACTACTTCACCAGTATTTGGCATAAATTTCATACTTGGATCAAAAGAAGTACTCACAGGAGAACAATCTGAAAAGTTTAACTTCTTAAGTACTTTCTCAATGTAATGAGACTAAAATTGAGATTCCTTGATGTTCTCGTTTGATTCTTATTCCAATAATCACTTCTACCTCACACATATCCTTCATGGAGAACTGAGATAATAAAATCTCTTTTGTCATGTCAACTTGCATTTGATCAGTACCAAAGATAAACATATAATCTACATACAATTATATGATCACTCCTTTACCAGACTCGTCAAATTTGCTATAAACACACTTGTCTGATTGATTCAACTTGAAACCATGTGACAAGACAACATCATCAAACTTTTGATGCTACTGGTTTGGTGCGTGTTTTAGCCTATACAATGATTTGACCAATTTGTACACCTTATGCTCATTTCCAGGCATAACAAAACCCTCAAGTTTTTTCATATATACGTCTTCCACCAAATCACCATTCAAGAATGATGTTTTATCAACCATATTGTGAATCGCTGCTAAGGCAATCAACAATCTATAGGTAGATATACGAGCAAAGTTCATAGGGAGTTATCTTCTTCCTTTTGTTTAGAACTCTATTTAGATAACATGCAGTTAGTATAGCTTCTCCCCAGAATACATCACTCAAACCAGAGTTCTGGGATGTTAAGATTAAACATTGTTTGAGTTGACCTAGTGTGAAACTGGAATCCGTCTTATCTCATGTAACACCCGCAACTTTGAGATATACAATTAAGCTATAATAATTGATAAGTATTATAATTTGAACCCTCGAATAGGGAAATCGTTAGTCTCGTATGTCAAAGACTACTTATTATAAGTCTTTTAAAAAACTTATCGACAAATGATAAAACAACATTTTTATAAAGGTTACTTAGGCTAAATAATCTTAACTAAAGGTATAGTATATGTGACAATGATTATGTACATATAAAGAACTCTAAAATTCGACTTCGTATGCAGAAGTTATGCTTCTTTAAAGTTTTACGATTAAATCGGCACGGCTATGCGCGTCGTAAAAAGTGAATTTTAGATAGGTTACCTATTTGCCTAAGTAATCTAAACGAAAGTCAAAGTAGTCATTAAACCGAGAGTGTACATATAGAGAATGTCCAAATATGACTTCATACAAAGAAGTTATGATTTTTTTTAATATTTCAGCGTATCTATATTAGCACAGAAACCGAATTTTAGATCGGTCAATTGTTAGGCAAAACAATTGTAAAGCCATCTGTCTGAAAACTTAGGGCCAAAATTTCCCTTTTTAAATATAATAATTGTAAAGCCATTTGTCTGAAAACAACCATAGTATCAAATCATATCAAAATCAAAGTATCAATAGTCAAAACATGTCGTGATAAAACAACATCAGAGTATAAATCCCAAGAATCTCATATGCGGAAAATCGTGTGTGTGATGCGCTGCTACCGTACCGGTTCCTTTCCCTTCGAAAAAGAAGGACCTGAAACAAAAACTGAAGATCGTAAGCACAAAGCTTAGTGAGTTCCCCCATCATACCACATACCATATAAACACATAATGCCTAACATATTCGGGTACTAGCTACCCCTTCGGTCTATTTCAACCGGTAACTTGCTTAGCATATCAGGGTGCTGGCCTACCCCTTCAGTCCTGTCGACCGGTAACTTGCCTAGCATATCAGGGTGTTGGCTTACCCCTTTGGTCATGTCGACCGGTAACTTCCCTAGCATATTAGGGTGCTGGCCTACCCCTTCGGTCCTTTCGATCGGTACCGGGGACTATTTCACCCCCTACTTCTACCACATAGCATCCTAGTGCATAAACATATAAGTCATATACTGCCTAGCTTATCCGGGTGCTGGCATACCCCTTCGGCCCTATCGACCGGTACTGGGGTCTATCCTACCCCTCCTACCACTATCCCATAACGTCATAGCATACTAGCACATAAAGCATAACAAATAGTGACATACCAGACAGTTATCACAAAGACAATCATCTCTACTATAACTCTTACTAGTGGGTCGGCATTGGTGCCTTCGACCCACTTCTACTGGAAGGTAACTCACCTCATACTGCTGGAGTCCATTACAGGAAATCCTTAGCTATTTTCCTGGCAACTCCCTGGCTATCAACACCACAATATCATCCAATTAGCAATTAGGTTCTAAACCATGATCTATAATCCATACTTGGAGTAAAATGACCATTTCACCCCTGGCCCAACAGATACATAACTAGGGCCCAAGTCCAAAACCAATCGATCTCAAAACTCCAAAATCCATAAAGGTCCGCTAATGGAAAATTGGGCCCAAACCC